CCCTGCATCTGACTGCTGAAGCATTCCTCCATTTCTAATGGAGATTTTTTTTTTTTTCCACATCCCTCACAGATTATTTTTGACTTAGCCAAGCAGGGAGCCTATTTTAAAACTCCCAATTTGAAAATCATGGAAGCTTTATAAAGTACTCCACCTGCATCTCTTTTGGGGGACACAATCCTTTATTCTCTAAAGGATGAAAACCTCCAGCATATAAAAACTTTGTTAAGCTGTCACTATCAATAGGGAAAAAAAAAAAAAACACACAGTTGACAAAGAAGAAACAAATTGCATCTTCGAATAAGTTTTCTCGAAGCTCTTGTTAAAAGCTATAACCTCTGATGTTAACTAAATTTAACCCATTCTGACCCTCGTGGTGGCCCTTAACCTCTTCTTTCTTCTGCTTCCTGTGGCTGCTGGAGAAAACGGGCCCAGCCCTTGGAAAAGCGTTCTCTGTAGGACACAAAAGGCCCAGCCTTCCTGCTACCCCGCCAGGAGGCCCCCGATCGACCGAGGGGTCAGCACCTGTGCAGAGAGGCAGGTGACAGTGGACTGCCTGCAACCTTCCCCAGCAAGTTGTAAGAGTTGTCTACCCTTCAGCCACCACGCTGCAGTGTCAAGCATTGAAGCCACTGCAGTTCAGGTTTTCTTTGCGAACACAGACTTTACACAAATTAATCTATTGCTGTTCAACTGACTGTAAAATTAATAGATTTACTGTTGCAAAAAAAAAGAAAGAAAGAAAGAAGAAAAACTGAGAGCTTTCACTTCCACTTTGGTAAGGTCACAGATGCATCCTAAGCTGCCAACAAAACAGCCTTGAAAATCTTGGCCGCAGAACCAAGCAACTTTCAGGGAGGGGGCCGGAAGCAGCGAAACAATGTCTGAGCCTTACAGTGGGAAGTCTTCCCAGTACAGTAAATATGTAAGAGGCGAAAGATTTATGCGAACTCCGCACTGGAGGAGCTTCTCAACAGTCAGAGTACAAATTTGTTTTATCCCGAACCTTATATTGGCGGTCAGTCCTGCCTTCCATGAAGAGCCTTGTAACTAGCAGATCGCATGTGTTTAAAAACATTATTGGGTTTTACTTAAAATGTGAAATGCTAATAACTTGGTTCTGTTTCGCTCTGATTTACACAGTAGTACATGCTTTAAGGTTTCCTATACTAGCTCTTTAGATTTCTGCAGGATGCTCTGCAACGGTGATGGAAATTATTTTAAGCGTTTCAAAATGACCAAAGTTAACTGAATCACCCCCCAAATGTAGTACCTTTGAAATGGAAACACATGGCTCTGTTGTTTTTCCAATGGAGACTTTTGGACCTATTTTCTGCTTCATTCAGTTGCACAAGACTTTTCACAGAAGATAAATGGACCTTCCATATACAACTACTCTTTTATTTAGCAGACAAGAAAGCTTTTCAAAAAAAAAATGTATTACAATATGCCATTCATTTTGGATGAATTTATTTGCTCATTCACAACCACCATCACGTTTTAATAATTGGTGCCATCATTTTTTTGCCAAGAGGAATGATTAGTCTGGAGTCTAATGTTATGGGAAATTTTGCACATGGCAAATGTATCCTGAATCTAATAATAGTTTGAGAGGACATTAAGGGTTTTAACACAGATGTGGTCACCAGATGTCCTCCAGCTCTTCTGGGGAATCAGCACAAGCAGCCACATGATGGATTTAGGTCAAAGGAAGAGAGTCCCTCAATCTTTCAAAACATTGAAATAGGCTTCTTAGGGAAGGCTAAATCTCCCTGCCTCGAGTTTTCTTTTCTTCTTTTTAAAGTGTGTGGAGGCTTACATATTTGGAATAGATTAATCACAGTTCTGCCTGAGGGTAAACAGTAGAGATTCCATAAGAAGACTTCCAGCTTTCATGTGTTATGATAATGGACACATGGTATTGGGCTGAGGGTATCTTCAGGATGTTTTTGACGAGTTACCTCACACTCCGCCATAGCCCCTCGCACACCTTGCTTTCCATGTCCCTTCTGACAAGCTTGTAAACATAGACTAAGGGGACCGTGGACCCTCTCGGCTGTTTAGAAGGCACTGTAGGGAGCAAGTTGTTGCCACTCAAGACAACTGCTGCCAGCTAGATTTGGTTGGTACCGCATAGGATCTCACACATAATAGACTGCAATTCCCCTATTTTAGCAGAACTGTTCTGATAAGAGCTTACGATCTAATGTTGGAGAGGGCATATAAACTAGCTATAATCCATTAACAACTAGTTGTTGAAGAATATGCTGAAGATGTGAAGCCACACAGGCTTTGACTCATCAATGTAACTTCAAAATAAACACAGTGCTTGATTAGCGTTAAGATTAGCCTCTTAAAGTAATTGGTGTAGTGACTGTGGCATCATGAAGATACAGCCTAGTGTTAATAACTTTTTAAAGAAATCACCCATAGAATAATGACTTTGTGGAGCAGATATACTGCATCTCAATGACCTCAGGCTGAGACTGTGTCTCATGGGCCTCCCTGGTGCAAAGGCTCCCCCCATGCTGTGGGGAGAGGGGACTTTGGAAGCTAACAGGCAAGGCAAAGAGACAGAATATTTCCTTTAATCCTTCATCAGAGCAAAACACCACTATATGCATTGTGTGAGAAACGGGGATTTGGGACCAGCCATGGAAATTAACATGGAATTTACTCTGTGGAGGAAAATGTAGAAGTTTTAGCGTCACCTGGATTTGAGTCTTATTGAGTCACACTTTGATATTTTCGGGGGTTTGTTTTGTTTTTTGTAAATTATCGGTAGAAACAATAGCCATTGGGAAAGCTCTGTAAATTTCCAAGCATCCTATTCTATGAATGTATTCAGTTTACAGAGGATTTGTGGCATAGTATAATACTTTCCCTAAACCAAGAAGTTGAGGCCACAAATACAGGAAGGGGGCCCAAAATAGCCAGTGGCCTGCTTTACTATCTTTATTCAAGGGTCTTCAAAATCCACCACAATGGAGCTAAATCCAATACTCTCGGTGACTCTTTAAAAGCTGCCATGTCCCATTTCAGCTGGAGGTCAAAGCAGAGTTCAAGATCTAAGATTAAAAAAAAAGTCTTCTCTCTGAGGGCATGTCTTCAATGTGCACCTTTCTCTGCTCATCTCCTTCCAGGAACAGCAAATCACCTCCTTCTTGAGATACCTAATGATGGCAGTCTAGAAAATTTCCCAAATCATCTACTCGGGACACATATGCCTTCAAAGAGGGGTGACCAAACGGGTGCTAGCTCCATCTACCAACAATTCATTCAAATTACAATCTTACCAAATTTCAAGTCCTTAGTTTGGGTATTAACCCTCTTCAATTTTACACATTGTTCACCAGATACCCTCACAGACTTGTAACTCCACTGCTTCACTACTTTAGTGTAGCAGTGTAAGAAACATTTAGCATTAAGAGCACCAACTCTGGCTCCATGCTGCCTGCATTTTATTCTGGATTCTGCTACTAGTTGTGTGACCTTGGGCAAATTACCAAACTTTTTTTTTTTTAATTTTATTTATTTATTTGGCAGAGAGACACAGCGAGGGAGGGAACACAAGCAGGGGGAGAAGGAGAGGGAGAAGCAGGCTTCCCGCTGAGCAGGGATTCCCAAGACCCTGGGATCATGACCCCAGCCGAAGGCAGACACTTAATGACTGAGCCACGGAGGCGCCCCAAGTTACCAAACTTCTTTATGCTTCAGTTCTTTCATCTGTGAAATTGGGTAAGAAGCTTGTCCTGAGGATTAAATGACTTGATAGAAATAAAGCACTTAGAGGGTGCCTGGGTGGCTCAGTTGGTTAAGCCACTTCCTTCGGCTCAGGTCATGATCCTGGAGTCCCGGGATGGAGCACCGCATCGGGCTCCCTGCTCAGCGGGGAGTCTGCTTCTCCCTCTGATCCTCCTCCCTCTCATGCTCTCTGTCTCTCATTCTCTCTCTCTCAAATAAATAAATAAAATCTTAAAAAAAAAAAAAAAAAAGAAAGCACTTAGGAGGGTGACTGGCAGGCACATAGGTAAATACTGGAAACGTGCGCATTTGTAATTGTTGAGCACCTACCATTCCCAAGGCATCAGCTAGTCACTCTACACCCGTATCTAAACAAACTTCTATCTTGGTATTAAGGAATAATTTGGCTGGACTAATTCTTGTTTAACTGGGAAATGGCCCACACACAAATACTAATCTTAGACTTTGAGCCACATACAGATGAGTTGTTTTCTGGGTTTACCACTTCACTATTTCAATAAAATAGCACCTAATGTGCCAGACACTGGGATTTGATGAGGAAATGGAAACTCGGGCCTTTGCTCTCCAGGAGCTCTTAAGGCCGAACTAGTGTTTACATCTGTAATAAAGCACGTAAAAACTGACTCAAGGAGCTATTTAAGGAGAATAAAGCAACGTGTTCGGCGGGACTATATCCTGTAGATGCAGTTTCCTCCCATAGGGTAAATTCTCTAATTAGGTGGCTTTACTACGTCACGATTGCTGATTCCCACTGGGTCGCTGAAGAATTTCCTATTGAAGACGAAGTGAGAGGTCAGGTGACTGACACCAGTAGTGCGACGGCGGAGCGCACAGCGCCCTCGAGGCAGGGGTGTGTCGCCCCCCCCCCCCCCCCGTACAGGCACGTGAGAGCAGGGAGCACCCGAGGTTTGCGACTGCCCTATTGACTCTTGACAAACCACTTCACTACCACGGGCCCGTTTTCGCTTTCGTGAAACTGACGGCCTGTTCGAAACTCTCCCAGTTACACTACTTGAATCTTACACGCCCGAACCCAACTCCGGATCTGTCTCCGGTGACCCCGCGCTTGGGAATCTAGGGCAGTCTTTCACTTCTAGAGTCTGCTCACCTGCAGACCGGAGGCAGTGCTCCTTAAGTCACAGGAACTATAAGAACATTTATGAAATCTTTTATTCAACATTAAATGAAAAGAGAGAGCCCGCAGGAACCGCCCTTCGCACTTTCTGTCGGAGGACTTCCGCCTGCCAGCTGGACAGCACTCCTCCCTGCGTCACCTTTCCTTTAAAGACGCGGGCTCCGCCCACTACGGCAGGCGAAGGGGGCTGCCCGCAGGGGCCGCTCCCTGGCTTCTTCCGCCAGAGCTTACCAATCGCCGACCCGGCAAAGGTAAAGCTAAGGGCGAGGGGCGCCGTGCCAGTGAGGGGGGGGGGGCTGCGGCGGGAGGACGCGGGCTTAGGCACAGGCCTACGGAGGAAGCGGCTTCACCTCGGCTGTGTCCCTGGAAGGTCAGTGCCGCCCCTGCCGCCGGACGGAGCGCAGAGAGGCACCACAGACCCTGGCGCGGGTTCGGGGATTCGGCCGGTCTGTAGCCGTCTTTGGGCCCGGAACGCTGCCCGTGCATCCGGGAACCGTAGGACCTAGACCCGGCGCCGGCCCTCCGGTCCCCTGGACATTCCGTCCCGCCATCGCGGCGCACGTACAGGCACGCGTGCACGCTCGCCGTACGTCCCCACGCCCCCTCTCTGGCCGAGGCGTGCGGGGGGAACTCTTTCCCGGTGTGGGCGTGGCCGCGGCTGACACACGTGACCGTCCTGTTCCCCGCAGCCGCCGCGGCGGAAGGAGTAGCGGGGACGGTTGCTAAGTGATTGCGGGATTTCTGTTTTTCCCTGTTTATCGTTTAATAGGCTCCGTGGCATAAGACTCTCGAAAGAAGTAAACAAACTTTATTACTGAAAACTCGCAATTGCACATTCGTGTAGTGAAAAGCTTCAGTCTAGGATTAAAGTACAGAGAGTGGAGGGGCGTTTGAAGTCAGCGGCTGCTTACTGTGCCAGGGACGGGACAGATAAATCAGATTAGTTCCCCGCTTCAGAGAACTTAACCGTCTAGTGAAGGAGAGGAACAGCGATAAGATAATCACAAAATTGTAATTGTGATGAGTGCTAAAAGGGAAAGATAAACTACTACGGGAGCATTTACTGTTGAGCATTAAATTGCCGAGCTCAACAGATGAGGGAGCAGGGGGATTGGGGGCTTAGTTTGGAAGGTAATCAGAAGAATGCCCGGAGAAAGGGAGCACTAACCAACAGTCTGGCGTTTCCTAAACCTAAGGGAAGAGCATTTCAAGAATCTGGACGGCCAGTGTGGTTTAGGCAAATAGGAAGTTTGGTATAGAATGAGGCTGGAGAGGTGGCACGAGCCTCTAGGCTTCATGAAAGATGTTGGCCTGGAATCTGGGCAGTTTTTTGGTGGGGAGGGTGGGGCTGTGTGGTGACAGTAACGCAGAGACAACGGATTGCAGTGTTCCAATTGGTAAATCCTAGTTAGGAGACTGGTGGGAATACACACGAGATGGAAGATGTCTTAAACTAAGGTGGTGGCAATGGGTATGGAGAGAAGTGGTTGGATTTGAGTGGAAGTAGGAAGTAAAATTTATGAGACTTGGTGTTGGGTTAGCTAGGAGGATGAGGGAGAGCAGAGACGCTAAAGTCGGTGCTCTGGATGAACTGTGATGCCGGGCAGTGAGATGGGGAGTTCTGAAAGAGCAAGTGACCATGTGGAAGATTCATGTACAGGAATAAGTCCATCGTTAATACTGAGTATGTAGCTCTGGATTTAAAAGCTTTAAAAAAAACATTTCCTGGATGGTCATTGAGCTATTTCAGTAAAATAACTAAAATATAAGTTAAAAATTTTATAGGTAAAGAAATATGGTTAAGTAATTGGCCACAGATACATGTTGGTTTTTTCCAGTATTGTAAATTGGTGTTACAGCTCTTAAAAAGCCAACCTGAGTATGGAGAGTACTTTGTACCCGGTATGTGCCCCTTATGGAAGAGCACAACCAGAGCCAAGGCAGAGCACCATGAAGGCTCAGTGACCATGGTTCAGTCCTCTGGTATTAAGGCTGCAGAGCCCACTGGAACAGAGCAGATGGACTGTTGGCAGGTCTGCAGGCAAAAGCAAGGACTTTGTGAAACTCCTTTGAAAGGTGTGAGAGAGGATTCTTAAAGTCATAGGAATTGGCAAAATTAGTTTCAGAAATATTTAGTCCACTAGAATCTATGTAGTTTTGATCCAGCCTCCCTGGAAATAACAAATATCAGTAAGTATGAGCTTGTGAATATCAGCTGTATAGGAAAGAAGAGCGGTGAGCATGCAAGCAGTTTAATCCCTCATAACCACATATTTAAATCATATTCCTAGAACTTTCATTACAAATACATTATCAGTACCTCCTGAAGAGGTATGTGGTAATGCAAAATAATGTATCATAAGGGGAATGCAGCCGTCTTTGGGGGCAGTAATCATTTGATCACTTTTTTTTTCTTGTACAAAAATGTTCATAGCAACTTGATTCATAACCGCCCCAAAGTAGAAACATTCTAAATGTTCATCAGCAGAAAACTGGATTTAAAATTTGTAGTGTATTCATATACTGGGACAATTCTCAGAAATAGGAACAAACTAATGACACATGCAACAACACAGATGAATCTTAAAAACATGCTGAGATGCCTTACAACAAAGAGTACATACTGCTTAATTACATTTATATGAAATCTGAGAACAGACTATGATGGAAAAATATCAGAACAGTTGTTGCCTCTGGGTGGGGTTGGAGACTAACTTGGAAGAGGCATGAGGGAACTTTTTGGGGTGATGGTAACATTCTACATGTTGACAGTTTTGGTTACAGAGGTGTTTGTACTTGTCAAAACTAATGAAAAGATATGTTTAAGATTTGTTTTTGTTTTTGTTTTTTTTTAGATTTTCTTTATTTGAGAGAGAAAGAAAGCAAGAGACAGAACACAAGGCAGGGGGAGGGGCAGCGGGAGAGGGAGACGCAGACTTCCCGATGAGCAGGGAGCCTGACATGGGACTTGATTCCAAGACCCTGGGATCATGACCTGAACCAAAGGCAGGCGCGTAACCCACTGAGCCACCCTGGTGCCCCTGTACATTTCATTATATGTAAATTTTGCCTCAAAATGGAAAGAATCATTAACAAATATTGAACCCTAGTTAATGGAATGCATGCAGCAGTATTTGAGGATGAAGGACTCGAGGATGCCAATGTCTGCTACTGCTTTGAAATACATCAAAACATAAATGAAATGGATAGAAAGAGGAATAAATAGATGGATAAATAACACAAAGATAGCAACATGTAGAATCTAGATGAAGGGGTATTGGGGTGTTCACTGTATCATTTTCTGTATATTTAAACATTTCCATAATAAAAGTGGGGAGAAATAGTCCTCAAAGAATATTGTTCATTTTAAACAACTGCAGACTTAATGTGAAAGTATAAAAGAACACAACCCTAAGCTCTCCTGAAATACACAGTGTATGGAAGTAACCATGTATTTATTTCATAATTTCCCACTTTATGGCTTACTGTTTAAAATCCTTTCAATTTCTTATGAAATATGTGGATCAGACATTAAAATTATTCTGTGTTGTGTGCATTTGGAATAGTGCAATTGTCATTTTTCTTACATGGTCCCAGGCAAGTTTGTGATGGTGTTGAAGAGGTCCAAGCAGAGGAGTGAGGACTGAAATTAGGGGGAATTGCCAAGACAGAAGAGTGAAGGGGCTTTGAGGGCGTTTGTCAGTTTATCCTCCAGTGCTTGCAGGATATGGAGTTTTTCAGTGATCCAGTCTCACGTAAATAAGGGAAATTATATGTTTTCTCCTTACAATGTGGAGTCAGTTGCAGAATTTAAACTCCCAACAGTTGCAGATAGCTGAACACAGGATGATCTCAATAAGGTCTGAGTTACCGTGAAACGAGACATGGCTATCTCTTACTATACGATTGTGTACTTTAAGTAAATGATTTTAAGATAATTGGCTTTTCAAATAGTTCTGGATGTCTCAGAAGGGACAGCTGTGGAAGTAAGTGACTAAAGGTACCCATACTGTCCTAAGAACATGAGAACCTATTTCGATTTAGACTGCTGTTTCATTCGGCCTACTATTTGTTTGACAGAGATATCAAAGACATTTAGTTGGAGAAATTTCATGAAAGAGCAAGGCTTTCTATTTTTGCACACACTTGGAAAGCCTTCTTAACCTTTTCCTAGCCTTTGCTCTTGTACTCCCAGACAGCCTAGCTTAAAGCACTTGAACCCACTAATGTTATAATGTTTTATCATGTATTTTCTTATGTCTTCTTTTTTGAGGGGGTCTTGACCCAGTGGTTCTTAACAAGAGAGGAACAGGGAGACATCTTGTGTTTGAAAAAGATGATGCTGGTAGGCCTCCAGTTTCTGAGAACCGCTACTCCAAAACATGCTCACTTTTAACTACTAGTTAGCCAAACATTGCACAAGTTCTACTTCGAATTGAAACCATCTTCATTAATGAAGGTGAGATACTTATAGACTGCTCTGATGAAAACTAGATGGAGAATAAAGGTGATTTGCATTACCAAACAGTTCAGACTCTGGAATCTGTAAGGTTCCCTAGACATAGGCTTCATTTAGATAGAGCCTTGAAACTAATGAAAACTAACATTTTTTGAAGATCTATAAAGCCAGAATGCCAATTTATTAAATTATAGTGATGTCTATAACTTACACAGATTGGAACAGTCATACTGGCACGAGTAGGGAACTTTTTCCTTCCTGTGGGCAGCTGGCTTCTCTTTTAACTTTTTAATTATGAACAAAATTAAACATACAGAACAGTTGTAAGGCTCAATAACCAAACATCCGTGTAACCATAACATAGATTCAGCAGATGTTGCCATGCTGCACACGTATTTTCTGCCAAACCCTGTCTGAGCAAGTGGCAGTTGTCATGGTCCTCTGCCCTAAATACTTCAGAGTCCCCTCCCAGTGATGGCATTTTCCCACCTAAGACAGTTCGCAGTATTTCTCAGAAAGCACCCGCTCCATCAGGAATCTCGTCGTTATTCAGCTTGTCCCCTGTATCTCAACATCTTTGTAGTTGCTTTTTTCAAACACATTGCATTTTATAATTATGTCTCCTCTGTCTTTTTATTCAAGAATAAACCCCTTCTCTTTTTAATTCCTCCTAACACTTTTTTTTTTTTTTTGACATCAAGCCACTTGGCTTGTCTCACAGTCCGTATTTGTCAGATTGTTTCCTTGTGGTGGTGCCTGATTTGTTCCCGAGTCTGGCCCTTGAATTCCCTGGAGACTGGGAACCCGGTCTAGAGGCCGGACCAGGTTCTGGTTAAACCTTTTCTGGCAGGACTGTTTCACAGAAGGCACCGCACCCAGGCCATGGCACAGGAGGAGGTATGCGCTAGGATGTCGGGTTGTCCCATCGCTGGAATACTGAGTCTGACCTTAGGTTAAGGAGGGTGACAGCCAAAGTGTGTTTTTCCCATTTCAATTTGCAAGTCATCTTTGAGTCACCCTTTGGCACCATATGAATACCTTGTTTCCTCATTAGCTTTTTACCTAATGGTTTTTGCATCCACCCTTGCCTGGATCTGTGATTTGATTGAAGGTGGCAAAATGGTGATTTCTAAATTACTTTTCTTCTCCATTTATTAGCTGGCATTCTCCTCTAACGAAGAGCTTTTCTTCACCACCTGGGGATGATTGCTGATTACAGTTCTTCCTAAAAAGGTAGGATGAATGCTTAGTCCTTTTTCTTTACCAATTTTCACAGTAAGAAGTCTGGGTAAGAGTCACATGCAGTTCTGGCAAATGATCTTTCTTTTTTATAGATTTTTGCATATTCCATGTGTTAAAACAACTTTCAGCCATTGTTCTTTAATGTTGAAATTACCTCACATTTGGCCAGTGGGAGTCTGTCCATGCTCCCAACCTGTGAATGAAATGTAAACAAGCAAAATCATAATAACATAGGGGAAATCAGAAAACTAGGTATTTGATAATATAAAGGAATGATTGTTAGTTAGGGTAATGTTATTATGGTCATTAAAAAGACAAAAGAGGCCTCACCTCTGAGAGATGACTTACTGAGGTATTTGCTGGCAAGATAGGATTTACCTTGAAATAGTTCATGGGCGGCTGGGGGTGTAGGAGAGTAGTTGAAGCAGAGAGGAGGCAGGTTTGGCTACGTGCTATTAAGAAGCTGCGTGATGGGTGCTTAGGGCTTTATTATACTATTCTTCCTATACGTGTTTGAAACTTTTCCTAAGAAAAAGCTTTTTAGAGGTGCCTGGGTGGCTCAGTTGGTTAAGCATCTGCCTTCGGCACAGGTCATGATCCCAGGGTCCTGGGATTGAGCCCCGCCTCGGGCTCCCTGCTCAGCAGGGAATCTGCTTCTCCCTCTGCCTCTGCCCCTCTCCCCACGCCCCCCCATCCCGCTTTCACTCGCACGCCCTCTCTCTAATAAATAAAATCTTTTTTTAAAAAGCTTTTTAATTATTACAATTTAAGTTGGTATTTGCAATTCAAATTTAGTAATCTCACAGCCTTTTTCTTAACATTGTATTTATATTTTAGCTATGAAAAGCTTATTTTGAAGAAATATGTATATGTTCAGCCTTGCTGACATAAAGCCAAAATTTAGCTAGTATTGGAGCTTAATTGCTCTATAAGTCAAGAAAATGTAAAACTTTTGAAAATTTATTTTTATTTTTTTTAAGACTATTTATTTATTTGAGAGAGAGAGAGAGAGCACAAGCAGGGGGAGCCGCAGAGGGAGAGGGAGAAGCAGACTCCCCACCGAGCAGGGAGCCTGATGCGGGGCTCGATCCCAGGACCCTGGGTTCATGACCTGAGCCGAAGGCAGACACTTAACTGGCTGAGCCACCCAGGTGCCCCAAAAAACTTTTTAAAATTTAAATAATGGTACAGAACTTAAAAATATAGTTACAGTATTTTTCTATTCTTTACCTTTTCCTGGAAAATGTTTTTAAAGCTTTAAAAAAAAATTCTACATAGTTTTTCTGAAATAGTCTTTATTTTATAAATAAATATATTTTATTTACTAGTATGAAAAATACTTCTTCCATGTAAAAGATTGGGGAAAAAATGATAATTAGGAAGGATAGGGGAAAAAAATCACTTGTGTCCTCGACTACAAACAACCAGGGTTTTCATAAATTTCTTTTCATCTTTTTCCTATGCCTAGTCTATTCATATGCTTACTTGTTTTTAAAAATCCTACATTTGGAAAAAAAAAATCCTACATTTTGAAATATTTTCTGTTTTAATGTGTTGAGGATTCACTACCCAGGACGCAGCCAGCTTTCATCCATTATTGTCAGTGCCATCCTAACTCATAGTGAAATTTGGTGCTGTGGCTATTTTTCTGATGATAAATGGAAAAAAGTCTTCTCTGGTCTCCTCAGGCTTTCTTGCTTTCTTGGTCTGGGGGCTTCCTCCACCAACAAATATCTGACTTCTTTTGTTAAACATCTTCTCAGCTATTAAAATCCAGTCTGCTCCGATTCTAGAGCCTTTGCCACATCTGCAGCTGGAGTCCCAACCAGGTAGCAACTGTAAGTGAGTTCATCTCCTTCGCTGTGGGCGGAACATCTGGCCATAGATCTCACTAAGGTCAGTGGGCAGTTGAAGGGCCAGCCAGAATGTGAAGAGCGTGGGTAACCAGTGTCTGTGTGTATTGCTAGGGAATGACACATCTGAGGACCCGGGGGTCAGACGCCAGCAGACACTGCCTTCCCTCCGGCTGTTCCCTTTGGCTCAAATGTTCACTCAGCATGTCTGTGCCGAGCCGGGCTCTGGGCTCTAGTGTTAGGAACACAGCAGTGAACAAAATGGACAATTACATTTTCTTGTGAAGCTTGCATTCTAGTGAGAAACATTATGGACATGTGTGCAAATAACCATATAATATGTCCGGCAGTGGATTTTTTCAAAGGCAAGCTAATGGATTTGAAAATGATGGGGTGTACAGTATTTTACAGAGTGGATGGGGAGGCCTCCCTGAGCAGTAACACTTGAGCCAAGGCCTGAGGTAAATGAACCACACAGCTGAGGGAAGGGAACTCTTGGGTAGAAGGATCCAGAGGAATACTGTTTGGTGTTTGTGAGGAACAGCCTGGCGTCCAGGGAGGTTGGAACAGAGCTGGAAGAGGCGGGGTAGGTGCGGTGGGCAGAGGTGGGCGGGGGCCACTGTGGGCCCCTTCACAGGCTTGGCTTTTCCCCCGAGCAAGATGAAAGCCAGTGGAGGGTTCTGAGCAGAGGAGGGACGTCCTCTGCCATGTATATTTTAAAAGGATCACTGTGTGTGCCATGTAGGTGATAAATTATAGGGGGTAAGGGCAGAAGCAGGAGGGCCGTCAGGAGGCTGACTGTAAACCAGGTGAGAGAGGGTGATATTTTTGGAGCAAGGTGATAGCAACGGAGGTGAGGGGTGGTTGGATCCTGGCTGTTTTTAGAGGCTGAACAGCCAGATGCCCTGCTAAATTGTTAAGAGAAAAAGTAGAGTGGAGGATAACTTTGCTGCTTTGGGCCTGAGCCGCCGGGAGGGCGTGTGCTGTATGACCTGGCAGAGACTGAGGGAGGAGGCAGCATAGGGGGAAGACGGAGAGCCGGCGGGGGACATGTTCGCTCTGGGCGACATTAGCTGTCTGAGTGGACAGCGCGGGCTGGCAGTCAGCCCTACAAGTTAGGGATTTGGGGAAGAGGCTGGAGCAACAGATATGGGTGTTGCCCAGCTATGTGAGGACAGAAGTGGGAGTATGTGCGTCCCATTGCTTTCCGTTCAGTTTACCGTGTCTGTTTTGTTTTTTCCCTCTCACTGGTCACTAGAGGCCTAAGGCAGTGTGATGATGGGGCTAGGTCCAGGGTTTGTACAACCCGGTGGCATCAAAGCTAGGGACCAGAGGGCATTTCTGGTTTTAGCAAACACTCCAGGTGACTCTCCTGCAGGTGACCCAGGGACCATTCCTTGAGAAGCACTGCTGAAGGTCCCTCATCCCTTCCTCTTTGGTCGTGGACAGGCCCACCTCCCTGAGTTCTTGTGTTGCTCACCCCAGATGACATGAGTGGGTCCTCCCATCCCTCCTCCAGCCTGCACCTCTAGGCTTGGCCCAACATGTGCATAGAAGGAGAAAGACACTTATCAGGGGAGAGAAGCCAGTACAAAATCAGAATGCCATTTATAAGAGCAGCGGTTAGTCCCATGAAGTAAACCAGGATCACCATGTGTGCCTAACACGTCATTAGCGTTTACTTGTCATGCCGTACCTGGTGAGTCATCGTAGAGTTTCTGAGATCGGCACTCTGATTCACGTCAGCGTATTTCCTTTCTGAGAGTCTCAGTTAGTGCTCCCAGGGGTCAGCTTCCTTCATGGGGAGTCCCCTTTCCCAGAATAGTGCTCTTGTCTTCTGTATACCAGCAGATGTATTGATAAATTGTTAGCAGTTGATTGTATTAAAAGCTTATGAATTGGTATTTATGAATCACTAAGGATTTTATATGCTGCATTCTCTTAAGTAAACCTTTAGGATGATCCTTGCTTTTGGAGTTGGCACTACAAGATCCTTGGGAAATAGAATCAAATGAGATAGTATTGGGGGAAGAAATGATGGGAAGCGACAGCACTGTGCTAATGTGGTTTATTCCGACAATAACTTGTGCTGGGGACAGTACCTCCGCGACTTAGTGTGACCACAGTCACCTGACAGTCCACGTCATTGGTGTAAATTCCCCAGGCATGGATCCACAACGTTCATAGATGACCTAGGCCTGCAGCCTCACACACACCCTCTATGTACCACAGTTCATCAAAGATGAACTGATTGAATCGTAACAAACCTTCTCCCTGCCTTTTAGGATGGCTGCTCTTCTTCTAAAGAGGCTAACGTTACAGACCATAAAGACTGAAAATAATTGCATTAGCAGGTGTCTTGGTAAATACATCCTGCACAAGACCATACCAGCGCAGCTGTCCCTTGGAGCTTCTGTCCCAAGACTGTCCTACCTGGTTCATGCAAAAGCTTTCAGTACTGCTGCAGACACCCAGGACGAAAGAAAGAAGAAGAAAAAGAGTGAGCCAGCTTTTAGCAACATCGGCAGAAAAATTCATGAGCGAGTCATTCACGTGCTGGATGAGGCAGGCAATGATTTGGGAAACATGCACCGAGCAGACGTGATCAGGCTCATGAATGAGCGGGACCTGAGGCTCGTTAAACGGGACAGCGGCGTGGAGCCTCCGCAGTACCAGCTCCTGACGGGGGCACAGATTCACAAGGAGCAGCTGAGACTTCGGGAACTGGAAAAGGCCCGCCCCAAACCTGGTAGGTGTCGTGCTGTCTGCAAACCGAGTCCTCGGGACCACAGACCAGCAGTTGAGAGCGGCATCTGCCAAGGTGCTCATGACCGTGGGGATGTAAAAAAACAGGGACATTCACGGTCTCACCACCAGTGCCCACATCTTTCTTCAGCTCTCCCTTATTTCCATTCCTCTTCTTTTTCCCTTGATGCCCTGTGGTCAGCATTCTTTTCCTTTAAGCCTGTGTAAAAGGAGGGGAAAATAAGGTAAACACCCCAAAGTGAGGGAACCTCTTTCCCCTTGGTCCTTAGCTCTGTCTCTGATCTGGGGGTGGCAGAGCCACTGGCGGCAGGCCTTGGAGTGCCCGTTCCAGGGCTGGGCCACCCTTTCCCCCACATCTCTGAAGTGGAGGTGCTTGGCTAATTGCCTGGAAGCACTTTCCAATCTCCGAGGTGATTCGCAGAGCACCTCTCACGCCCCAGTGTCTTGTTACAGTATTGGTAAGGAATGCCCATGTACACGTTTTGCCGGTCACCTTACAATGCCCTTGTCATTGATGCCTTCATGGAACTATGAATTGGATAGCGAGTGAAGATTTTTCATGATTCCCACTAAGTGCTGATCGTTATGAAAGATTGTTTTCTGTTAAACAGCCTGGGACAGGGACCAGGAGACTGGTCCTGAAGCTGCCACAGTGAGGTTGTATGTCTTAAGAAAATCATACACTATCTGTGGCTCACTTTTGTAACAGCACATTCAACAAGGATGTTGACTAGAAAACAAAAAGTTTTCAGAGGCCAACTAGGATGATACAGACTTCAAACTGTATCACAGAAAAATAGTTAACAGCCCAGAGAAGCTTGGAGAAGACACGTTGCTGTTGTGATAGTTGAAAGGCTAAGGTGTTGAAGGCATTATTTTGTTCTGAGAGAGACCTAGGACCCGCTGCAGGGGCTTGAAGGAAGCAAGGAGGTATTGATAAAAGGACTTTTTTTTAAAAGAAAAATTACTTTCATTTGGGGAATTAGAAAGCATACAGAAAAATATGAACACCTGCTATCCACCATCCAGAATGAACAAACATGAACGTTGTTGTGCTTCAGATTTGTAAACAAAATACAACATTACCGAGTTGTTGAGGTTGTCCGTGCTCCCTTCCCCTGTGCTGTCCCCCCTCCCCACCGTCATGGACTCGGGGTGTAGGTCCGTCTGTGTCGTTAAACCTCGGTTACATATAAACAGTATATAGCAGGATTTTAGACACACAAAAATGATGTCACGCTGTTTTCAAGAGCCATGTTTATAAAACAGCTGTAGCTAATTTATCATAATTCCTAAATGGAATCCTAAGAATATACCATATACCATGGCTGTAGTCCCTTTGCGTGGACATCGGGCTCGTTTCCAGTCTTTCGTTATGAAGAACAAGGAGCCCGTCTGTCAGTGTCTCCAGGGTCTGTGGGGCAGATCATCAGCAGTGTATGTATGAAACTTCTCTTCCTACATCCCACCTCTACTTGGTACTCTCATCTAATTTTTGCCGTGCTGATGGCTGAGAAGGCCTGTCTTACTGTTTATTTGTACTTCCTTTCACTATGTGAGTTACCTCCTCTGTGACTTGCCCATTTGTAGTCCCTGTTTTTCTTTCATGGTCCTCCCCCGACCCCCGATTTATAGAGTTCTCTGTTCTGTGTGATGCAAAAACCTTGTCTATTTTTTTTTTTTTGCCCTTTTTTAATTACCCAGTAGTGTTCTGATAGAGGAAATTACCACTTTTCTCCTTAACAAAATCCTTCTTCTATCCTGAGGTCACAAACATCCACTTTCTTTTCTTCTGTTTTAAAGTTGTATTTTTTTTCACATTTAGTCAGTCCTCCTGGGGAGATTGTCGTATGGGTTGAGACCTAATTTTTCCCCATATGAAAACTCTGAATTGTCCCAACGCTTTTACTAAATAGTCTGTTCCTTCCCTGTAAAATAATTTTGCATAGTCAGGGTTTCCATTTTCGGAATACAGGACATAGGGAGCTCCCTCCTGTCTGATGCAATCTGGATGACCCCACTGTCACTAGGAGGCCATCACAGAAGGAGTCAGATGAAAAGAGTACTTCCCAGATACTGCTCTCATCAGAAGGAAAAATAAGGATAGTCAAGTTTATCATAAAGCTAGACTCGTTCCTTTGAAAGGACCATTTTTTCTTTCATCAAATGAGGGTAATAATAATGGAAGCATTTCATACATTACAGAATATCTATTTTGCTTTTAAAGTCTGAGACCTAAATACTCTTACTTGGCAGGTAAAAAATCAGTACCTTTAAGTTTGTCCATCTCCATTGTGTCCTTGTTTAAAAAAAACATTTGAAACTAAGAAAGGAGTGTTGGGCCCCTGTGCCAACCTGATCTCTCAGGAAGTGTGTGACACAGCTCAGGTGTTGTGAAGAGACCAGTAAACAGTCCTAGCACCAAGTCTGTTTCAAACTAGGGCCTACCCTGACAAAGGAACTCACTTTTTCTTCAACTATTGGACAACATGATTTGGACACAAAGAATAAACAGATTCAGCAGTGGATTGAGAAAAAATACAAAGTTCAAATTACCATAAAAAAAGGGAAGAACACAGAGGAGCCAGAACATAAGATGGTGAGTACACACAGGTATGAGGAACTGCTCCTGGTTTTTGTTTTCTGATCTAAAGATACAATTGTAGAAAATCTGGATACTTAGCAGAGGCAGAGACAAGTAACTGCTAATTCTACCCAGTGATGACAGTAGCTTTCCAATTCTGTTTTTCAAAATGTAAGCATACTCTATGTACATCACTTTTTCCACTGAAGCATAATTAAGTATTTTGTCACCTGAAAACATTGCACTTCGTAATTTCAGGGCTATATACTTTTCTTTTTTGCAAATTGCCTAATATCTATCATTTAAAAACAGATTCATTTTTAGGGCGCCTGGGTAGCTCAGTTGTTAAGCGTCTGCCTTTGGCTCAGGTCAGGATCCCAGGGTCCTGGGATCAAGTCCTGCATTGGGCTCCCTGCTCAGCGGGAAGCCTGCTTCTCCTTCTCCCACTCCCCCTGCTTGTGTTCCCTCTCTCGCTCTCTCTCTCTGTCAAATAAATAAATAAAATCTTTAAAAAAAAAAATTCATTTTTAAAAGTCTGTCTCCTGTTTAATAATGCCCCTGAGAAGTACTACATATAAAGTCAAATTGTCTTTCTGGAAAGGACCAGTTTACACTCCCAGGATAAGTTTACAGACTATCTATTTTTGCTCTCAGAGTCCCAGACCTTAGCAGCTAAAAGGCAGCCTTAGTCTGGTGGTTTTCACCTTCATTCCAGGTTAGAATCGTGAGGCCTAGGTTTCAGCCCAGAATCTCTAGAACTGGGTGTCTGTATTTTTCTAATCACCCCAGTGACTCTGTGTTAGTAATGTTAGGAACTGCAATTTGGGGGATAAAGAGGTCCTCTGCCAATGCCCAAACCCACTGCTTTGTACCTCTTTTTTCTGAGACGGTAGCTGGAGCCAAACGTAGTCCCTCAATGTCATGCCAGAGTGGGAATTTAAAACTATCATCCTTTAGTGCATTAGTTACATGGCATTTGTAAAACTGCCTGGTTGTCGTACAGGTTTCACTCAGCTTAACCAGAGAAGCATAATTTGATTTATGTAGTCACTTAAATAACAGCAAGTCAGGAATGCTGATTTTTATGTGTTTTAGAGCATTAACACTAGAAAGCATCAAAGACATTGGTTTTAAATTCATCTTTGGCTGTTCTCCCTTTCTAGGAGGAGATCTGTAATCAAATACTCCAGACTATGCCTGGAATAGCTACCTTCTCATCCCGGCCACAGCCTGTTCGGGGAGGAAAAGCTGTAATGTGTGTTCTTCGTCATCTGAGCAAAAAGGAAGAGAATGCGTATAGAGAAACTCAAGGAACCCAGAAAGGAGACACTCTGAACAAAGAAAACAGAAACAATCAAGAATCGGATGTTGTGCATCAGTGATTTTAATAAAGAAAAGTGTGCTTCTTAGCGGAAATAATTGAGCTGAATGCTGTGGTCTCGTTTAGACAAAGGGGGAGGGTCGGTTGAGGGCAAGGAGCGCAACGGGCGAGAGCACCTTGTCTTTGGTACAGTTCGGTGTCCCTCCGGTTTCAGGTGCACATAAGCCTTGTCCTTGCTTCCTTTTAGGAGGAATATAGCCACTGAGACGAGAGGCCAAACTCCGTTTTTCACGAGATGGTTTTACCTTTGGAAATAAGAAAACAAGATAATGGGAATTCAGAAACTGATCTTCTAATAGCTGTACCCCCCACCGGGCACACAACACTCCTTTGGAAGAAAGTGAAGGCCACGCCATCCCTTCCATAGCAGTGCGGGCTCACATGGTACTAAGGAGCTGAAAACATTCTAGATTGCATCTGGCTGAGGTAGTTGACGTTTCAAATTAACAGCTTGCCTCACTCAACTTACTTTGAGCTTCATTTTCTTCTTGTCAGGGTCATGCACAATGGCATGCCTAGTGAGACTTTGCTACAATGAAGGAAAAAGAAAAACAGTTACATCTTTAAAACAATGCCATCTTGGTATCTCTTAATATGAAAACTCCGTGAGTTATTTAAATAAACTCAACCTTCTTTCTGTTACATACCATTGAAGGATATGGCCTCTGCTTACAAAGATTGTCCCACCAGAGCAGAATTCTTCCTCAAATCCTAGACCTAATCGCTACCTTTCCCAAAGACCCAGGTTAGGAACTTACACAGTCTCAACCTCTGGTGGCTTCTTAGTTGTTTCATAAGTAAGAGGAGGGGAAACCAGTTCTGAATGAGCTATTCCAAGCTGAAGAAGGTTCTTTTGACTGAAACTACGTCAGCAGCATTCCCAAACCCCAGTGGAAAACTTGACCAAGGTCTTGCTGTCCTCGGTAATGCTGCCCACCATCAGCGCCCGGACGCACGCTGCGCCTGCCTCAGTGTCTCTTCAGTCTCAGTTATAACTCATGGTTCGCACTTGTAAGAGCACCTGCCAGAGTGAGAGTCTGCAGAGCCGCACAGGCCTGTCCCCGTTCTTCCCTATTCAAATCACACCAAGATCCAGACTAGATTCCCAAGTGCTGTGGTCCCTCATGTCCTTGCTGCCCACTTCTCTCAGCCCCTAGAAGATGACAGTCTAAAAGGACACCCAAGTACCAGCATACTCTTACAATTAATAAGCATGTGGTACCACAGGCACTGGTTCTCCAAGTTAGACACGGTCACCGAGAGGGTTTGTTAAAACACAAATTACTGAGCCCCATCTCTGGAGTTTCTGATTTCGGGGGGGGGGGGGACTGTGGATATGCATTCCTAGCAAGTTCTCAGGTGATGCTGAGGCTCCTGGTCCGGGACCACGCTTAGAGAACCACTGGCATAGGCAAATCTGGTTGTTTTGCAGACTTGAGTTAAGAACCGCTCCTGCTGGGGCGCCTGGGTGGCTCAGTTGGTTAAGCGACTGCCTTCAGCTCAGGTCATGATCCTGGAGTCCCGGGATCGAGTCCCACATCAGGCTCCCTGCTCAGCAGGGAGTCTGCTTCTCCCTCTGACCCTCTTCCCTCTCGTGCTCTCTACCTCTCAAATAAATAAATAAAATCTTTAAAAAAAAAAAAAGAACCACTCCTGCTGAAGCCAGAGTGGAAGGGCTAGAGCACCCGGCTTTCCCCATCTGTAGGCCCTAGGGCATCATCTTGGAATCTAGGGCTCCCAAGAACCCAGCTGGCAAGCCACAGACCTAAAGGACTGCAGTTGTGAGCACGACTACTTACTTTCATTGCAAATGTTTTGCCACAGCCAGGATGTTCACAGGTAAATGGGCGCCTTTCCTCGTGAAAAGAGAGAATGTGGCTCTGGAGATTAAACACGGTTGTGTAGGTTCTACCACAGCCTTCTCTTGGACACCGGCATACATCCCTTTCTGGGGCGTGAGTTTTCATATGCTGCTTAAGGTAATCCTTGCGCTTAAATGTTTTCTGGCATACTTCACATTTTATGTCCTCTGGGGGAGTAGACAGACAAACTTAACCAATTTCCCCAGGTATCACCATACAGAAAAAAATGAATTTGAATATATAAGTAATGTATCTGATGCCGAAAATGTCATGATTATCATACATCAGAAAACTAACTCCAGTTTTTATTGCTTAGAAGTTTGTCTCTTTCCCATGTTCTTATATTACAGAAAATCACTCTGTCCCCTTACCAGGAAGCAGGGGTTCTCAGCATGGTGGCTGCAGGCAAGGGGAGATTAAAAAGACCAGTTTCCTTCCTTGTATGTATTTCCTCCAGTACATAAAGCACTGTTTCCCAAACTGTCCCACAGAACACCCGTGCCTCCCAAGGTTCTTGACTTGCCAGAGCCTTTAAAACTACTAATTTAGGGGCGCCTGGGTGGCTCAGTCACTGGTTAAGCATCTGCCTTTGGCTCAGGTCATGATCCTAGGGTCCTGGGATGGAGTCCCTCATTGGGTCCCCCGCCGAGTAGGAAGCCTGCTTCTTCCTCTCCCGCTGCCCCTCCCCTCCCCTACTCATGCAGTCGCTCTCTCTCAAATAACATCTTAAAAAAAAAAACAAAAAAAAACAACTAATCGTGCACAGCACCTCCCGGCATAGCTCCTCCCGAATCTGGGACCACAACTCTGCTCATTTGTCAAACAACTGAGGTAACCAACACGTGACAAAACATCACACAGAAAGGTTATTATTTTAAGGTACATATTTAATATTTCACTCTTTAAAAGCAGTTCTATAGCGACAAATATTTACACTGTGCCATACATGTCTACTTTACCTTTATGGGTTTCTCTCACATGTTTTAGAAGCTCTGTCCATGTTTTTGCCACAAAGGAACATTCTTTTTGACACATATAGCCTGTTTAGAAAAAAATACACTGGTGCATTGCCTTTTGTGAATATTCAGTGTAAACACCAATTGTAATTACAAAGGAAACTTATAAGCCTACATAGTTTTTCTCCAGTCTCCTAATAATACTCTGTTAGTCCTTAGAGGTGGGAATAAAAACTAAGTTTGTTCTACAGGGAAACCAAATAATCGCGTATCAAGGTATTCCACGTAGAGTTTTACGTCTGCAGACTTGACAGAAGCACGCTGGTCCCCGTACGTTGTGTGTACTGCCCACGGGCTCCCAGCTGCTGTGCTGCTCCGCCTCCGTGCCCCACATGCCCCACAGCTCCTTTGCCCTCCCTGCTTTATGCTTGCCTCGTTTTCCTCCGTGAAAGAGCGCTGTGGTCCTCTGTGCTTGGCCGACCACCAACACTAAGTCTCAGGGGTTGTGTGCCTACCCCTGGCCTCTAGTCTTACTATCTGGTAAGTTCCACAAACCAGGAAAAACTCAGGGTGCAATTAAGGGAGAAAATAAGAACCCAGGGGAAACGCTGCAGACAAAAATGGACATCATGCAAGGTGCCAGGACTGGAAGAATCTGTCACTGTAACAGCCAACCTGTGTTTCACCAACTAAATAGCAGAGAGACACCAAAAGGAACGAGGCTACCTCCTACTCTTCAGCTACTAGTCTCTTGTTAAAATAAAACAAAAACAAAAACATATATACTTAGAAAACTGGAAAACAGAATAAAAAATCCCTCACGGAAACAGAGAATGGATTCAAGTAATTTAATCAAGTCTTTTTGAAAAAGTTACAATCAGATTACTCCAAAACCTCAAACTCTTATCCAAGCCCTGTGAATGCCAGTAAAGAGACGGAAGTCGCAGGTAGTAAAGAGGTAAACGGTGGTGAAAAGCCAACCGAGGCCAGAGCGCTAACACTCTCAGAAGCAGAGTGCCACCAGGCCCTTGTGACAGACGGTGAAACACTCGCTTTGAACAGCAACGACAGGAGTGGAAGAACAGACAAGGATGTGCAGTGCCTCTGGTCGGGTCTAAAACCTGAACCAGCAGCATGCTGCCCCTGCCTAGACAGCGTCGACTTTCTCCGCGTGACCACGGTGTGGAAGAGAAAGCATCTTACAGTCAAAGAACTAGACACACACACACACACACACACACTACTGGGGTCTACTCGAAGCGGGGGGGGCCCCCAGGGAGCACCAGACATACCCTTGTGGACCTTGCTGTGTCGCTTCAGCCTGCTGGGTGAGGTGAAGTGTTTCCCACATCCTTCATGGGCACACCTGGGTTAACAACACGTCACGCATGAGCCAATCCATTTTTGTGGAGCATCTGCTGAGGGTGAATATTACTCTGTCCTTTTCTGCTACCAAAGTCTCTCCCCACAACCAAATCAATCATAAAGAGGAGATTTAAAATTGAGACTGAATCACAAGTGAAATTCAAGTTACTTGACCAGCCTTGAGACAAAACAAATGGAAAGAAAAGAGTCATGATGACTTTTTTTTTTTTTGCATTGTGATCAAATTAAAACTTTCATCTTTAACCTTCTGAAAATGGACTGTTTTCCTGGCTACAACAAGATGGGGAGGTAAACCCTTGAGGCATTCTGAATGGTATCTACTGGGTTTAACGCTGCTGCCTGGAGACGGTGTGGAAGGAGAGCAGCGGCAGACGCGTCGGCTCTGGTGAGCCATATAGGGGCACCGGCCGCTTCCTTGTGAAAGGCCCCAGCGGCACAAGAGGTGGCAGGCCTGCCAGCAAGGACACACACAGGCCCTGCAGTGAACCCAGGCAAGGCGCAACTCTGGGGGGCCAGGAAGGCACTTAGCAGGACGGCAGCACGCAGAGCGGCCAGCCAGTGCCCTTCAAGACGCCCCTCCGAGCAGGCGGCTGGGGCTTTCCGACCCTCTCGGCAAGTCCACCCTCATGCGTCCAGTCACTGTTCCTGTCCCTCAGAATAGGCCGCTCTAATGCACACTAAGCCCCATGACTTCTGCTCTGTAGGAAAGGAATACTTCGTGTCTACGTAATGACAGTTCACACAAATAAACGGGCTCTTTGGGGCGCCTGGGTGGCTCAGTCGGTTGAACGTCTGCCTTTGGCTCAGGTCATGATCCCGGGGGTCCTGGGA